CACTTCACCCCTATGATTGGCACGAGAGCCAAGGAATTTTGAACGGTAGTACCTTATTTACGGTATGGGAAAAGAGAGATTGACGAGAGTAGCTTGGAGGCAAAGTGAACGACCAAGAGGTGTAGACAACCCAACGGGCCAAGATTGTAGATGGCGGATGGAGTTGGAAGCTGAAGAAGCTGATACATACCTATTGGAAGGCCAATAGAGGGGTCCAAGAAGAGATATGTCGCTTTGCCGAGGATATAAAGGGTCTATCTAGATGTGTACGGAATTTCGAAAGAAGGAAAAGGGTTTACGGAGGCCTACATGGGCCAGATGGTGCAGAGCAAAGCTGAAGGTCAAGCTTAGGACCGGGGACATCTTCGAGAAAGTAGATGAATATTTTAAACGACGACAGACGACGAAGACAACAAGCTCACATGTGAATGCGGCTCCGAGTGCGAAGGCCGCGTTCACTTAGTTGCGGAATGTCCATTGCACAAGAAGGAGGTGGAAATGTACATGACAAGCTGGGAAAAGAAGAAGGAAAATACAGGACAGGAGGCTGTTTGAGGTGGAGAATAGCGAGGAAAAGACGGTAGGTGTACTGGGGCATAGGAAGTGGGTTGAACAGGCGGGAAGTATCATCGATAGGATGGAAAGGCTTGGGAAACACATTTGAGGAACCTTTGGCAAAGTATGAAGGGACGATTGGCCATCGGTGACCGGTGCTGTGGGAACAACGCTCCGTCCTCTCGAGGACACGTGAAAAACGGTCTAGCCGCGAAGGCATGCAAAACATCACAAAGTACGCCCCCCCCGCCCATCGTGGATTTTCGACGCTAGGCAACGACAACACGCCAATTGCTTCAACTAGACAACCAGGTTACCGCTTGTCTTGGCTTTGGTGGGGTTTTTAGCGGTAACCATGATGGTGGTCGAGTAGACCATGTTGTGCGGGGTCGAGAACCCTCTCCAGCAAAACAACACATAATACGAGGCATCGAGAACGACTTTTGAAGCCCGTTGCCTGCTGTTAGCAGCGTAGAAGCGAGTGAAGCAAGTGCACACAAGTCAATCAACCTGCGGCTATCTTCACCGGTCTGTCTGCAGGCCGATGTTGATTGATCCACAACAGACGCGCCCGCAAATCAGAGGGACAATGGCATGTACACACGCCGCCGGCCAAGGCGACCAAATACACACAAAGGGGGCGTCGGGGGCGATTATTAGAGCCCGCTGCCGCTGCTACGAGCGAACGTGGTCCACATCCACACAGCGGTAGCAGCAGCAGCAGCTGACAGGATTCATGAGAGCTTCGTCCGCACCACAGAACATAATCAATTGTCCCCGCACTGCCAAACAGCAGCAAGCAGTCCTGCGTACACGGCTGACTGATGGTGTTGGGTGAGATGTGAGCGTGTGCAGTAGCAGTGGTGACCTCTGTGAGGGTCCATCCATCTCTTTGTACGCCTGCGTCCCTTTCTCCGCCCCATGTTTTTCGCGCTTCGCGCGAAAGAATTTAAAATATTATTGAATGTACGGGAGTTGAGCCAACTTCCAAGTGTACGTGGTAGCAGCCGTCAGCCAACACACAATCCATAGTTTCCGCGTGTACCTAGACTACACATCCAAACGATTTCTCTAGGTACCGCGCCAGGACGGACTTTGTGCCAGAAGAGAAGCGGATATGTCTGCAAGCCTCCAAGGACGTTTCTATCAAACCTGACACCGACGAGTGCACAATGAAGCACGGGTTGGTCTCATCACCGCATGTCCAATGACACAAACCCAAACCCGTTACGTCTGCGCCGGACATGTGAATGATTATACCCATGACGCCCCGCGGTGCTCGGAGGAACGCTATCAACATAGCTGTCCGTATTGGCGAGTGTAGCCCCTCTCTCGGGAACTGTTGATTTTCTGTATTCACGTTGCGTCACCCGTGTCCGCTGGTCCTTCGTTCTTTCTTCCAAAAAATGAAGGAATGTTCTGTGGACGTCAGCAGTTTACTTCACGAACACATGTATGCTTCTTTTCGCGAAGCCTCCTACGCCTTCCGCCGGCAGCCCGACTTCCTCCCAGGAGCGAAACCCCACCTGCGTTGGTTGATTGTCGTCACGTGCGGAACATGATGGGATTAAATAGCGGTACTCCTTTGCTGCCGGTCTTCATTTTGGACATATCAGGAGACCACCACCCCTAAAAACGCTGACCCTAACTGCGTGCGCGAGTAGGGGTACACCTGGAAGAACGAGAGCATCACAAGCTGGGTGCAGCATTTCAGCGGCGAGACAAACGACTAGAAACCATCGGAGGGGCTCACCTCTCCCGTGAGGTAGGCAGGGAAGTCCTGAGGGCGAAGCTTTATGGTCCCGACTATAACTGCGGCCTCTGGCGATCCATGCTGGCGGGCGCTCTTCCTGTACGTTTTCCATGGCTATGAAGGCGGAGACGGTAAGCACGGCGGAGGATGGTAGTCACGATGGCTGAATGTCGGCAAAACCGGCGTCGTCAGCCGGTACGCTGTCTACGAGCGCCTGCCTTTTGATAGCTGCAACCCTCTGCACTAATGTTGCCTACCTGTTGAATTACTTGCTTGCGTGTCCATGATGCTGCGAGCCAAGGTGTGCAAGTATCGACGATATGTCGCTCGACACAGGGCCAACGCAGCGCGCGCCAGAGGCACGGGGAAGGCCGAGGGGAGCAGACATGGTCGAGCGTACAGCAATAATCACAGCGACACAGTTGCACAATTATCGTCTACGAACAAACTGCACCTGAGGTTCCAAGATGAGCCTCCCACCAGGCCGTAGCAGACTGTACGTCTTTCGAAACACGCCCCGTAACGCCTCGTCCCCGCCGTTGATGTGTATCCACTTTACCACGCTGAACAGACACACGACGTCGTAGCCGTGGTCACCGTGGGCTTCGGCAACGAAGTCCTCGCAGCGAAACGACACTGTGCACCCGGACAACACTCTTGCGTCGGGATCGGCGGCGGCATCGGCGTCCACGCCGGCAGCGGCGACAGCGGCGACGGTGGCGGCCTCAGCAACGGCAGCACCGCTGGGAGTGTCGTCGGCAGCAGCATCGTCACCCCCTTCGTGTGTGTCTGATAGGTTGCCTCCAACAACAGCTACTGGTTTCTCGTTTCTGGAAACCGACCTTGTGTCTCTGTCCTTCCGAGCGGGATCAATCTCTGCACCAACGGAGGTGGAGCCCGCAGCCGCGCCGCCCGTCGTGCCACCCCCGCGTGATTCTGGCAGCGCCACACTCTCGCTTGCCTCTCCCACAGACCCCTTTCGCGAGTCACGACACTCGTATTCCCGGCCGGGCACATGCACTTCTGGTTCAGTGGACCTTGCACCACCGCTACCGCCACCAGCATTACTTTCGCCACCAGCGTTTGCCTTTAGATTCGGGGTGCTGCTATCCGCCCCTTGTGCCTCGTTATTGGGGCGCGCTATGGAGGCGGACGCGGTGGCAGGAGTGGCTTGCCCCGCGTCACCGACGCCATCTTCGCCACCGCGCAGCGAACGCGGCATCAACGGCCTGAACTCTGTGCTCTTGCTGGCATGGGCAGCTGCGTTGATTTCCGTCGAGAGCTCCTAATTGGGAAACGTCGTTCAAGGCGAAAAGCAGAGCATCGTGCGATGAATAAATTATCGACTGTCAGAACAAGTGTGCCACCCAAAGGAGGTGTGGCGTAAAGCAACCCCCCGGGGTAAGCATGTCAATGTCAACGTCGAACGGGGCGGGCTGGGGTGGCGCATGAGGTCATACCAGCACATGCTGCAAGCCTCGAGAGATACAAAGGCCTGGGTAGACTCGACCAAGACGTTCTCTTCAGCGACGCCGGTAGCCTGCCAAATCACGCTTTGAGATGTTCTCCGGCACAACATGGAGCCGCGGTCGAAGATATTCCCCAAGAATCGAAAAACATTGTGCGAATCACCACAGGTGGATACACATTACCCCGCTCACCTTCCGAGCTCGTCGCACCAAATAGCTGTCGATGTCCACACCCACCATCCGTTGGGGGCGGAACGATCTCACAAGGGCCAGCGTGAGGTGTCCCTCGTTGCAGCCGACGTCCAAACACTTTTTTCCCTCGAACCAGGACCTTCGCATCAGCCCCACCCGAGGGTCGCGGGCGCCCGCGGGAGCGGGAGCGGCGGCGGTGGTTGAGGAGACACCGGCGGCAGAAGAGCCAGAGCCATCAATCCCGTAGCGGGTATTGTAGTAGCCTGCTCGGCGGAAGGCGGGCGAGGGACATTGGGGGAAATGACGAAGCTGACAAAATCATCAATTCCTCACACGCTAGAGGGTGCGCTGCGAAAAACGAAGTCTGCGGATGCTACGAGGTGAGCGAGGTATGGAGGTTGGTGAGCCCCATTTCTTCGAGTATTTAGTGGAGCGGCGCTTGCGGGATCGCTTCCGCAACATGGCGGCGACAGGTCCAGCGACAGTGGACACAGCTCCCTCCCAACCGCATTGGTGTCGCTCAACAACCCTTTATCGTGCTGCGAAAGAACAAAACATAACTGCGCGCCGAGCTACTGTATGTAGTGACGTCGATATGCCCGTGCTGAATGTTGTGTCGTAGTCAAAGCACGCGGCTGTCTGTGTGAAGTTCAAGCTTGGATTCCTGTACCATTGTCCTCGAGTGGAAATGTTGGACAGAAGATGAACGTGCGGGGGATGTCTCGTTGGCAACCTACGCATTGTTTGGGCTGTCTGCTACTCCAGACAAAGCATCGAAATTTGTATCATCCTTTCAGAGACATTCCCACACCTACAAATGAGAAACCCTGTGCGGTGTACCCGGCGATATGGTGCCTCCTCGCGCGGGATCATGTGTGGTGGGCGACCTGCCGGAGTTTGAATCTGGGCATCTGGGCCGTGGGTTCCTCCACAAACTGGTTGCGGAGTTTCTGGGCGAAAAACAACAAGGCTGCATCACCAAGATCGGAAACACGCACCGGGTGCTCGGAATGTACATGGCAATGGAGCTGAAGAATCTAATAATTCTGACCTGTGTAGTTGCCGTGCGGGAAGCGTTTGCGCTTCTTAGTCCTTTCGGGGCGGACACCAGCGGTTGTTGTTGGGCGGTCATCAGCACCTGCTGCTGTCTCCGAGATAGCCATGGATATGTGTAGTCACACAAGAAGCCACGTCGAGCCTCTACCTGAAAATTCGCACCAACGACACCCATGGACGGGGGCACGGGCACAAGCGCAATGAAGGAGAAACAAGGACGAGCAGTGGACGAAGCTGGGCTGCACTGAGCACCGGCACACACAGCAAAGCGAGTGGCGCCTGTCGGGGGTTCGGATGATGGAGGGGTACGGTAGTGTATATCACGGAGCCCCCTGCCGGCGTCGAAGCCAGCAAAGCCACGATCAGAAGCAGGAAGGAAGTGGTCACTGCTGTGGTGTGCACTGCACACAGCAGATCAGCACTACTCGACGACGACGCTGGTAAAGGAGATAAAGATTGGACTCTTCTCGCGGCGGGCACAGTGCCGATAGAGCGATGACTGCTGTGACAATGAAAGTGTTGTTGGTTGCAGTGTTGTGGATGGGACCCCCTTTGCACCAGGTGACAGGTTGGACTACCTTCCGGTCGTCAGTGCACGTACGCGCACAGCAGTCCATGGGATCGGTTGACAGCACCACCACCACCACCACCACCACCAGAATACCGTCGTCTTCACATGGGTGGACCCCTGCTACGAACAGCGCACTATTCCCCAACAGACGGAGGAGAGCTGCGGCGACAGCGGTAGTTCTCTCAGCGGCGTCATCGTCAACCATATCCAACGAGGGCTACAAGGTAGAGGAGAGCGGCAGATGCACCGGTGTTGAGGCGCTCCCGCCCTTGAAGAACAGATACTACGCCCTGCGACACGGTCAGAGCGTCGCCAACATGTGAGTTTTGTCGTGATTATTGCGCCATGGTGTCGTTCTTGGAACGGCTCTTCAATCGCCGAGGGTGTACGTCAGTTTGGGTGGAAACATGTGTCACCACCGTTCGTGTTTCGCCGCAGGTTGCTGTGGGTGAGGTCACTGCCTTATGTTATACGGAAACTCGGGATATTCGAGGGCGCCCACACCATCAACAACCCGAAGACTGCGCGTGACGACGGGTTTGTGGTCATCCATGATCAATTGCGTGCCCTGGCTCTCTCTGGACCTTCTTCATTAATTGAATAGTACAGCGACACTAAAGTCTACCCTCACGGGCCAAACCACTGAAGAATAGAGCGTTAATTTTTTTCACCATAATCACCCTTAGATCTGCCGAATGTCTGATTTGCCACTTTTCACGGGTCGCTCGACGCTCGACTCTCGGTATCCTCTCCTGCGTTGTTTTGACGTGAAAAACAGCACCGCTGTACTTCTACGAGAGCACCAGACAACCACCTGTGAGCTACATTGAAAATCTGGGAAATCTCATGCGTAAATATTGCTACATCCTTCGTCTGAGAATCTCCGAGGTCGACACTTCTGTAGTTCCCAACAGCTGTAATTGTAGGTCGTGGGCTCTCTAATTACATTCCACAACCTCTCCGGATGCGCAGGGAGGGCATAATCTCAAGCGACCCCAAGGTTGGGTCGGTGAAGCACGGCCTCACTTCCAATGGGCGTTCTCAGGCCAGAGTGTCCGCGACCGCACTCATAGAAGCGGTGAGCGTCAGGATTGTCTCACGCGCTTCGCGCTTGACCCTTGCAGGCGTTGTCTTTTTTTCGTAGGAAACAGTCCTGGTACACATCACGGAAAGGCTGTAACCGTTCGAGATCATTGTCTCATTCATGTGGTGAATTATGTATCTGCCACGATTATTTTTGGTTGTATTGTGCTAGCTAGACCGCCTTGTCTGTAACACATTGCTTCGTCTTCCAACACAGCAGTACGTTTGAGTGAAGATGGATGCGGGTATTTTTTGCGAGCTATGATCCAGTAGTGCCCAGAGATTTTTCTGCCCCGTGGTTGACGCGAGCGGCTGTTTAGGTCGCGATGCCTACGGGCAACTACACAGCGAAGGAGACGTGGGCAGCAGGTTAAAAAGATGCGCTCAGGGATGCTGCTACATGTTACAATCTCGGTCAAGGCCTTCTCGGCAGCGTTTGTTAAGGCTTTACTGCTCTGCCAGGCCGAAGCCCAATGCCTGCGTACCAATCAAAACTCACGTTCTTGCTTCTCGTTGTAGAGGTTGCCTTCTGCCTGTGCCCATGCTTTTTACACACGAACACTCGAGCCCCTGAGTGGTGCTGCGGCTTCTGCCAACGTGTTCACACTCACCAAAACAGAATCACAAAGTCGCTAGATGACGCCGCGTTGCATCATCATCCCTCTTCCCGCAACAGGTGGGACGCGACCGGCTGGACTCGCTGGTGTTCGTCTCGAGCGAGTTCCTCCGTGCACGGCAGACCGCGGAAGAATGCCGCGCTGCGCTCCAGAACATCTTATCCTTCGAGCGCGATGCCATGGCCGCGGGCGGCGGCAAGGGAGACGACGCCGCGGCAGAAGGCACGGAGGCCGAGGAGGGCGACGGGGGGTTTGCGTTGGACGAGGGGAGCATTGGCGGTTACGACGTGTCCCCGCCGCTGGTGATCCGGCAGGAGCTGAGGGAGCGGGCGTTCGGCGAGCTGGACGGCACGATTCTGGTCAACTACAACAAGGCACGATGAGGACGTTCGTTGTGGGAATATTTTTGTTTGGTTTAGTTTTTTCTCAGCCTGTCTCTTTGTTGGGGGGGGGAGGCATGTCATTACGTGCGTCAAGCTTCTCTTCTTCGTGCTTTCCTGAAAATTGTCGTTCCTTGTTGCTGAGGTATGGCGGTGCAAGCGCACGGTTTGCAGGACCAACGCGTGTCGCTGTCGTCGCGATTCACGATGAAAGCTAGTGCAAGCTAGGCACATAATGCCGCCCAGCACAGGGCCCTCTTGCCTCGGGCTCTTGACGTGCTTCGAGACGATAGACGAAAGCAACACTATGAGCGTTACGCATAGAGGTCTTGCGATCAATTGTGCGCAGTTGCGCGTGGTCCTTCCCTCCGCATCGATCTACCGCACGGGGTCCTCCTTCAGCTTGACAAAGTGCCAACGCTCTAATACGAAACAAAAAAAGCCTCACGAGACTATGCTGACAGTTCAATCGAAGTCTTTGAAGGAAAAATGCCGTCAAACTGGGCAGGCCGCCAAACTAGGCTGGCATTCGAGGGGGTGGGAAGGTGCTACGAAACGCTCACTAGTCAGATGACGTAGGGCAAGTGATTGAAACGAGCGGGTGTGCCACTCCGCCACCCGGCATGTGCACAGCTCTCGCCCCCGGCTCCACCGGTCCCCAGTGTAAGCCTTCTCCCTTGCTGGCCTAAATTGCTTTCGCGCGTGTTGGCACAGGTTTGGCCGGAGGACTTGAAGGATGGGATGCAGGAGGGGTACGGGGTAGAGAGCGTGTGCGACGTGGCGTCCAGAGTGGGGCGTCTCGTCCGGGCTCTGGAGGTAAGGCGAGGGAGGAATCGAAGCCCCTGCTTTGTGAGCACCGCTGTGGCCGTGCGAATATTGGTATTCTTGCGAAGTTGAACTTGGGTGTGTGTGTGTGTGTGTGTGCGTGTGCGTTTTGTTCTGCTGAACCCGAGGCGAATACTCGACCCATGTGCGTGGCTATTTTTCGCAATGACTACAGTAGGTATTTTTTGCATGTTTGAAACGACCACTTTGCTTTGTTTGTTTCGGCTGGAATAGGTTTCTTCTGCTCTTTTTGGTGGTATTGTTTTCGGTGCAACGCGAGTCCAGCTTATGTTTCCAGCAACCGCTCTCCCTCTCGTTCTCGGTACGAAAATTAGGCCAATCACTACCTGGCGATTTGAAGAACTGCTGTTGTTGTCCGTAGTCGTGGTGGTTTTACTTCCTCCTGATACTGGCCCATCACGAAATCCTACCCCGCGGTCACAGCTTGGAAAGTACGACAAACGCGCCAGGACCTGCAATGAACGCGTGCATATCCGATGCTGTATCCGTTGCCCTCGCATGACGTAAGGAAGCACCCTCCCCAACCCGACCTACCTCTTTCACCTCACGTACACATCCCCTCATCCCCGCCCTTCGCTGGCGCGACGCCATACCCTTACCGCCGAATCCTTGCTCTTGTCTCCCGCAGCGGGATTACGAAGACGCAGACATCGTGCTCTCGTCACACGCGGACACCCTGCAAATCGCGCAATGCTACATTGCTGGCGCGGACGAGCGGCTATTTTCTCAGGTACGCCCACGCGCGCCGCGGTACAAGTGCGTGGTGCGGATTTCCGTACAGCTGGCGCGGGGGGATATACCCGCCTCATGTTGGTTACCAAGCTGCTGTTTTTTTCTAGGCCGGCAGTGCTTGTGGAAGAACGGACGCCACTCCGGAGGTGTTGGATCGGGTTTGCCGTTCCAGCTTGACGAATGTATTCTGGCAGAGAAGGCTATAATGCAACATTGATTTAGGAGCACTTTTGTGTTGGGTCTCTGCACGTGGGGGCTGAGCGCTTTGCGAGGACAGCACATAAGGCTGAGAAACGTGCCAAGCTATTAAGGGAGTTGAGGTTGCCCCGTGGTACTGTACTACACTGCATGGGATGCTTTCCGTCCCACGAAAGGCGCACGTGGTACAGCAGTGTGCATCATGTTGTGTGACGAAGACATCCTCGTCTCCTTCGTCGCGCGTCGTAGACTAGCCCCCCTCGCCAGCGACCGCAGCTCCTTGTTGCTTTTCTTGTTTTTTGTTTCGTTCACAATAAAGGATCGTTCCGGTCTCTACTTTGTTTCTCCAAGAATCGGCACTGATTCAACTGACTCAGGGCGCCTTGCGTGGTCACACGTCAACTGCCCCCCCAAAAAGGTAATGTGTGTCTTTTGAGTGTTGCAAACCGCCTTACGCCGACCCCTGCCCTCCGCCGCCCCCAACCCCGAACCTCTGTCCGTTTTCCGACGTCCCGCGGTTGCGATACGGATGCGATCCCTTGGGTGGTCGTTGCAGTACCGGTTCAAGAACGGCGAGGTGCGAAGACTTCTTCAGGACCCTGATTCTCTTCCGCCACCTGCCCCGCTGTCCTTCCAATAGCGTTTCGACAAGATGGCTGCGGCGGTGGCATACCGCGCGGAATACTTTTTTCTTGTTGTTGTCCTGAAGGAACTAGGGTAGTACAACAGCAGTCGATTGGCCAAATCTTCTGCTGACCAAAAAATAGGTAACAATCAATGTGTTGTTTCATGTGTTTGTCTCACCGCTTTTTCAATACTAGCAGAAGAGTATACCCTCCTGTTTGCTTAGTCGAGCTGTTTGGCAGCGGAAAATGTGCTGAGGAATGGTGGAATACACTACAATATTCAAACCCCGCCCCCAAGGAAATAACCTTTTTGCCATTGGTTCAGTTTTGTCTTTCGCTTTTCCCCTTCCCCACCCCGGTGTTTGCCATCGGCGTTGGGTTTTCGTCGCTTGGCAACGACGTTGTACAACAAGCCCCCCCCTCCTCCGGTGTTTGCCATCGGGATTGGGTTTTCGTCGCTTGGCAACGACGTTGTAAAACAAGCCAAGTCACTTCGTGAACTCGGCAACCAGGTTACCGTCTTTTTTTTTTCCTCTGATTATTTTTTGGCGGTAACCATAATGGTGGTCGAGTAGATCATGTTGTGCGGGGTCGAGAACCCTCACTCCGCGCAAGGGGCATGATCGCACCACGTTATGTTGAAATAGTCAAGCACCCTCGAGGCAGTTACAGTGCTTACAACTGTCTCTGGAAGTGNTCCTCTGATTATTTTTTGGCGGTAACCATAATGGTGGTCGAGTAGATCATGTTGTGCGGGGTCGAGAACCCTCACTCCGCGCAAGGGGCATGATCGCACCACGTTATGTTGAAATAGTCAAGCACCCTCGAGGCAGTTACAGTGCTTACAACTGTCTCTGGAAGTGAAAGCACCAGAAAATATATTAAGTCATACGCAGCTGTCATCCGTACGCAAGGAAGTAAGCACAAGATGCCGAACACCCTTAGCAGGATGCAGCGCACCCTTCATGCGACTCGCCGAATACCTCACGGCGCTT